GGAGGGTCAGACTGGGGACGGCCTCCAGACCTGTCAGAGGGGCGGGGGCAGTCAGGGACCGCCTCTGCAGACCTGTCAGAGGGGGGGGTCAGGGACTCAGGACCGCCTCTGCAGACTGTCGGAGGGGCGGGGAGGGTCAGTCAGGGACCGCCTCTGCAGACCTATCAGAGGGGCGGGGGGGGGGGTCAGTTGCAGGACCGCCTCTGCAGACCTGTCGGAGGGAGGTGTTTCAGTAACAGTAGCAGACCTCTGAGGACGATTCCCAGATTCTAAGGACGGCGGGTGAGTGAGAAGGTCCGAGCACAGAGGGTTACAGTGTCAGAGCAGACGGTTAAAGGAAAAGGGCCACCTTTAACATGGGGATTGAAACTGAGATAGCCATCTTGTAGCCCGTGTCCGAAAACCTGTCTGTTTATCTCCTTACGGCCGATTTCGGCCTCCATTCGTAGTTATCGGCAATTTTAAAAGAAAATACGCCAAGAATGCGTCCTTATCCCAGGAATGCGTTCTTATCCGACAATACAGCCACCCGCGGCAAGGCTGGTTTTTTACCAATCAGCTCCAACCAGCTCAGCTTTAACCAATCAGCTTATCTGACACAATCCGACGAGTCTGTCTTCTGAACGCTGATTGGCTTGAGTGTGACGTCATCGCTATGCCATCATACAGTAGGTGCCGTAGAGAGTATCAACATAGTACCAATATGTTAAATAGTTTTAAATACTTTTTCGCGAATTGTGCACTTCTGGCACCAGTTTTAAAAAGAAAATGAAAAATAATAATGTCAAAATGAAAAACAACGATATCTTCATATTTCACGAAGGTGGCCCTTTTCCTTTAAGAACGAACCCTGGTCTGTCTCGGACGGCGCGGGTCAGGAGTTGGATGCAGCATGGACATGGGTCGATGATGCCTGTAGATCGACAACGGCTACGGGGCGAATAGCGGCCTAAACACTGAGGCTGGATGGCTGCTTTGCAGATGGAGAGCGCAAACTGACGACAAACTGACTGACTGACATTTGTGTTGGAGCAGCCGCTGAGGTTTTCCCCGCATTGCCTACCCAACTTTATTAAAGGAATCAGCTTGTAAGTTAAGTGCCCCAAATGCCAGAGACCATATTATGTGCGATACGTGAGGTTCAACAATTAACTGCGTCATCAAGTGGAATGTGAGTGCGCCTGGGAACGTGTCAGTGTATAAGTGGAGACTTGACCGCGACACAATGCGCCATCAGAGCCCCGATCGGCTCATCTCTCAGTCGCAGCGGCGCGCCAGAAGAGCGCGGTCACGGATCGAAGTGCGGCCCGTGCACCGCCGAGGGGGATCACTACTCAGTACTCACTATCTGAGTGGCCGCCACCGCGCCAGATGAACGCTGGCCGGAAATGTGACGCACGCGGCGGCAGGGGGAGGGCAGGCGGAACAGTGAGTGGCCGCTGACCGGAGAGGTACGGTCTGATACGCCGGACACGGTCTAAGGTCCGTCTGACACCACACCCATGACCCAGCGGCGGTCAGTCGACAAACAAACTGTGCAGCCGCTCGGCGGCGGCCGGGCCGCGACGCACAGGGCGCGGCGCGGCGCGCTGCGGACCCTTCCGGCCGGACCCGGACCCGGGGCCGAGTGTTTGCTATGACAGCGGGCTGTCGGTGGCAGGGCCGCGCCGAGGCGGTGGTGACAGCCGCTCTGCTGAGCCGTGCCGGCGTTTTGTGGGGAACGGGTGAAAGCAGTGGCGTCTGGCTACTGAGCAGAGCGGCCTGTCGGCAGCTAGCAGCGGCACTGGCGCACACCGTACCGTCGCAATGGGTACCGGTCCGGCCGCACTCTCCCGGCCCAATGAATGGGCCATGCGGTACAGCATAGTAGCAGCGCTGGGCACTAGCGCCATCTCGGGATGATAATTTTAACTCGCCCGCTTTTTACTGTTGTCCGCGAGTGAGCCTGGGTGAATGTCGGGTTATTTCGGCTATACCTAGCAGACAAACTTTTTAATTTATAATCAGCAGTTATTTTTATTTATAAGCATTTCGATCACAAGCGGTTGTCAATCGCGATATTGCGGGACTTTGTCCCATGTTCAGCCGGAACTGGGCGCTGCGCCGCTGGCTGGTGGACAGTCTGGCTGCTCGTCCTGTGACTGCAGCTGTGAGGGGCTGAACGCCCTCTGAAGGGGCTGGACGCCGCCACCACCCCGCCAGCCGGCGACATTGCCGCCACAGCCGCAGAAACCGGTCGGCGTCGAAAGGCGTCATTAATGCACATCAGGTGATGTGTGCAGAGCTGAGGCGGCCTTTCGAAGTGACCCCACACCCTGTCAGCCTCACAGCTCAGTGGCTGGCACCCCGCGGTGCTGTCGCGCAGTGGCACGGGGTACGGCGCGTGCATTGGACGTAACGCACCAACACCTCCCGGGGGGGGGGGGGGCGGATCTCGTCCAGAGACCTCACGCGGACCGCAGATAGCTGTACATTGCAGGGCGCGCCAATGTCGGTATTGCCGCCGTCACTTCTCTCAAGGACTTCTACTTTCTAAATAGGGCCGGTCTCGTCTGCAACCGTTAAGCTGCCAGGCGGCTGCTGGGGCCAGGGGGCGAGGCGGGGCGGCGGGGGGGCGGCCTGGTGCGGCGGTCACAGCATCACAACAGCAAGTGGCCGCGCCGGCCGAGCACGTTGGCCCGCCCGCAGCTCAGAGCAAACGCTCCTAATAGTTGCTGCACTCCACTGCTGAGCGTTACCAGGGGCTAACCCTCCCGCCGAGGTCTTCGCGGGCTCAGATATGTGTAAAATTGCGTCATCTACCTATCGGTATTTATTAGGATGTGGGTATTTACTGATCTAAAAATAGATAAAATACGACTCGCAAAAGCAGTCACTTTCAAGCTGCCTTTGCGCCATATGGGTGTTATGTGTAGAGTCGTTTTGCCCATGACGGAATGTTCCTGGCGTGGGCCAATTATATGGCGGCGTCTCACCGTGACGAGTGCGTGTTCCGGTACACATACCGACCGAATAGTAGGTACGGCCGGTACGAGAGCGTGCGTCCGGGTCCGAAGTACCCGCTCCCCTCTCAAGTACACGTCCATTAGCACGATAGGGCTTATCTTGCGCTCTCAGCAGTCAGCCTAATTGATCGTGGGCTCCCGGTCAAGTACGTGACCCGGGGCGCCCTGAGCCCTCGTATCGTTACGCGGCGCTGTGAAGACTACACACGAGCAATTAGTCGCCCGGCGGCGGCCGATGGATCACAGTGACTCCGACAGCTGAATGGAGCCGCACGCCGATGACGCATAGGGCCTTAGGCCTGTCAGAAACTATCTGGTTTCAGTCAGCTTACAGTGGTGCCGATATAGTGATTACTGATTAGGCAGTTGAAAAGATACCTATCAGCAAGGCAGGCAGTTGTAATAGATAAATTATTTCAAAATAGATACCTACCCTTTTGAATCGGTCAAGCACTAGGTAGGTACTAGAGAAACCTCCCTGTAGCAATTGGTATTTAAGTACCTAAATATGTTAACTCTCAGTAAAATAACATTTAACCCTGCACGTTTCTGCAGCTACTATGAATTTGAAGAAAATCTGCACCTACCTATGCTTATGTTTGAAATTTGCTTTATTGTAAAAGTGTGCGTGAATTCAATAATTTCAGTTTATCCCGCACCGTAGACAGTGTTTACAATTGCTTCACATGCAAAGAGAGAAAATTATCAGATGTCATGTAACTGATTTATTAAACGTCTATGTAGACGATTAACAAACTGTTAATGTCTAGCAGACATTTCGTCTAGTTTGAAATATGTCGTGGTATTTTTTACCGTGAACCGCCCGAAAGATATCGGCGGCACGGGATAAAAATAAAAACCGCTCGTAGGTAGAAAAATCTTTTAAGTCTCGCATATGTTCTTACCTACTCGCGTTTACTATATATTATCGCGCTCCGTAGACAGTGTTTACAATTGCTTTACGTGCAAAGAAAAAAATTAACAGATGTCGTTTAACTGATTTGTTAAACGTCTAGAAAATTAACCAAACCAACTGTTAAACGTCTAGTAGACATTTCGTCTAGTCTGTGTTATGTCGTGTATAAAATGTATTTTTTTTAACTTTAAGCGCCCGAAACATATCGGCGGTACAGGATAAATTATTAAACCGCTCGTAGGTTGAAAAATCTTTTAAACGTCTCGCCCAGCGGCTCGACGTTTAGATTTGTTCTACCTACTCGCGGTTTAATATATTTAACGTCCTTGGGCTAAAAAAAGAGTGAAGAAGCCATGAAATGAGAAACTCTTCGCCAATTTATGAGAGAATGCCTATCAGGTATTGTTATTTGAAGATATCGTTTGGCCATAATAGTAGTCCGCGGCGTGACCAGACCCCACTGCAGCCGAGCTGGAAAACCAGATGACAAGATCGCTCCTCACGCTCACGAGAATCGTGCGAGCGGGCTGGCTGACAGGACGTCCCACCAAGGCCACTGGTGCTGGCGGGGTGCGCCGGCGACTGGCACCGCCGCCGGCGCAGGGACGGCAGGGCCGACAGGTAGACGGACGCACCACGGAAAACACCCACGGCCCTCTCCCCGGGAGATGAGCCGGCGCGGGACACTGCTGGGACGGGTTATGGAGGGGAGGGACCGACAGCGCGTAAACTAAAAACGTGGTAAACAACAGGAGAGAGGGAGAGATAGAGAGAGAAGAGGGGAGAGAGAGGAGAGAGAGAGAGAGATAGGAGAGAAGAGAGAGAAGAGAGAGAGAGAGGAGAGAGAAGAGGAGAGAGAAGAGAGAGAGAGAGTTGCCGCCTCTCGCTGCGGATTGGTGACTGGGGTGGGGGGGTGACTGACCCAGGTGACCGACCCCGCCCGTGCTAACCGATGTTCTCGAACTGGCGGAGCGCTCCTGGGAGGAGCGCACGGCCGAGCCAAAGTCCTCCGGGTGACGGGCTGCAGCCGATCGTCCAGCTTGTCCTGCTCCTGGCTGTGCGCCTCCATGGTGCGGGAGGGAAGCCGCATACCTCGTCCAGGTCCAGACTGTACGGGCCCGGGCAAACGGGGGTGAGGCGTGGCGCCACACACTACACGACACACACGTACACACGCACACACACACATACACTCTGAACATGGAGAGCTGCCTTGAACAGTGTGGCAGCGTGTTTACACGAGCCAGGCGCAATGAGCATCGTCCAGGGAAATTTTGGAGCATATGTATTCTTTAAACACGATTATATGTAGAAGTACGTCGTCACTCCAGAATTTTGAGACTGGCCTCGTAAAATCCATATGAACGTGCTAGATACTTGTTGTTCTCACAAGCCCTTACCACAGTTGTTATAAGCGTACTTGCGTAATTTTGTTTTTCTACGTTGCAAAAGACGGCAACGGTGTCACCCTGAACATGGCAAGTCGCACGCGGCTTGTCACAGTGACCAGTGTATTGCACAGCGGGTTGTTCATGTGAAGACAACTTGGAGGGTCGCTGTGCAATAAAATTTGGGATAGCTTGGCAAAAGCCCGCGAAACATAGCAATTGACTCTCAAGTGACTTGAGACGAAAGCTGGATGTATTTTTACCATCATTAGACCAAGAGACAGAAGGTCCAATGAAAACACATTTACAACTTCAGACCCAATAAAGAACAGCCAGCAGGTCCACTGGGAAGCTCAAATTAATTCCTTACTAGAACAAAAAGGCAAAAACTTCATAACCTGGATCCCTTACCCGGCCAGATGGTCAACAAGGAATGATTCGTGAAGGTTCTGAGGGAGTTCAGAAGAGATTTCGCCGTAAGAGGTCGGAACTCTTCAACTGTGGCAGGGGCTCCTGCACCAGGACAGCGCACACGCCCACAAGTTCCACCATGGAGACGAACTATAGAAACAGATGTGCGTCAAAACCGTCCGTAGCCCTTCCTACAGTCCTGATCTGGCCCCTTGACTTCTGGATGTCCCCCAGACTGACAGGAAGCTCAGGGGCCGCCTTCGGAGGATGTGGAGAGATGATGAGGCTGTGACAGAGGCCCTGGCACCTTCACTTTGAAGGTCTATCAGCAGGCCTTCAGGCAGTGACAGAGCGCTAAAGCAGGCATTGGACTCGGGAGGTTCCATTTCGAGAGTTATAGTTTCATGCTTCTCTGAAACAGACAACTGTCTACTGAAAAGGTCTCAAAACTTCTGGAGTGCACCACGTAGAACGATAAACAGTTGGCAGCGGACGGCTGCAGGAGCGTGTTTGTTTCGTGCGGCTGGGAGGACCGCCGTCTGTGCCGTGGTCCGCGGTGTGCCGTCTGTGCCGTGGGCTGGGGATATGTGCCGTCTGTGCCGTCTGTGCTGGTGGGCTGGGTGTGTGCCGTGGGCTGGGGATATGTGCCGTCTGTGCTGTGGTCTGCGGCGTGCCGTGGTCTGCGGTGTGCCGTCTGTGCCGTGTCTGCGGCGTGCCGTCTGTGCCGTCTGCGCTGTGGTCTGGTGGTGGCCGTGGTCTGCGGCGTGCCGTCATGTGCAGTGGGCTGTGGTCTGCCGTCTGTGCTCTGTGCCGTGGTCCGCGGTGTGCCGTCTGTGCTCTGTGCCGTGGGCTGGGGTGTGCCGTGGTCTGCGGCGTGCCGTCTGTGCCGTGGGCTGGGGATATGTGCCGTCTGTGCCGTGGGCTGCGGTATGCCGCCTGTGTCGCCTGTGCCGTGTCCGCTCACCGCTGAATGTCGTCGTAGAGCTGCTGCTGCTGCTCGGCGCTCAGTCTGTCCCAGTGGGCCAGCAGGTGCTGCTGACCGGCGCTGTTTAGCCGACTGCGCACACTCTCCATGTCCATGGCGGCAGATATATCTGCGGGCAGAGCAGACACGCAGTGAAACAGTGCTGGCCTCCGAGGCTTCACGACTGAATGAGGGCGCACGCAAGGATTACAGAGTACCTATACGGACGGACAGGGCCTCGGAGTGTCGCAGTGCCGAGAGAAGTGCGCCGCGCCTGATGACACACTCGAATGCGCACTACCTGGCTTGGCACTTATCTCTCACCTGCCCCGTTCGGGCGACACTGGCTGTCTGGACGACTGAGAGGCACTGGGGCTGGGTGCAGGGAGCCCTCCCCGGGACTAGGGAGCCCTCCACCGCGCGCAGCCCCGAGCCGCCGCGGTCAGGTGGAACGGGCCTCCCCCTCCGGTACACAACGGCTGGCCACTCACCAGTCACCACAGCGGCCTCTGGGCGCGGCTGGCGGCGGACCGGGGCCGCGCAGTACCGCGCCGGCCGGCGCACCGGACACCATGGAGACCCGACACACAGTGGCCGCGCCGGTCGATCACACTCGATAGCAGTGCCGCCGGCCATTTGGCTGGACCAAAACTAGCGACGGCCAATAGTTCATTGCGTTTCAAACGCGGCAAATGCAGCGCGGTGGGCTCGGCGCTGATGCACTAAATCAGTGCTCACTGCTCAGGAATGCGGATGTGTCCCCTCGGCCGCGACAGACCTGCCGTGTCTTACATGTATTTAAATGCATCAGATCGTGGTGTTTGGTCATGCTGGGCGTACTTACAAGCCGTCCACGCCAACTGCCGTGAATGAATAGGGTTATCTCAATGTTCTTTGTCTGGCTCTGCGCCCATGACGCGGACTGGAGGCATGGAAATTCAGACTCCATATAAGCAGATGGAAAGCTACTTTTTGTGTTCCACACAGTGGACTCACCAATCGAATGCGCACTACTTGGCTTGGCACTGGGCAGTGGGCAGTGGGCAGTGCACCATGTATAGCTGCAGTCGATACAAACTGCAACACTCGTTTGCTTTCTCCCAGAGCTGTTCTTTTTCTTTTACCTAGTTCATGTGCATTTATGTATGGTTCTCTTCAAAGTGCTTACAAACTGCCTGACCATGGCTGCTCCCAAATGGTACTAGGCCATTGGTAAGCAGTGGTGACGATGCTGGCTGCCGTCATCGGAGGCCTCAGTCATATACGACCAGACGCAGAGCCGCGGGCCGCTGTGCCTGCCGCGGCTGCCGTCCGCGGGCCACTGTGCCTGCCGCGGCGGCCGCCCAGGTGCCCCCCCCCCCCCGTGGAAGTCACCCGTCGGCCGGGAGGAGGATTGGGCAGCGTGTCCACGCGCCAGGGAGGGGGCCGCGGCGGGGGCAGGGAGGAGCTAACGGACCGGCGCGGCGCGGCGGCCGGCGCCGACCGCCCGGCCGACCTTGCCGAGCCGGCCTTCCCCTCCCCTCCCCCTCCGTCCCGCCGCCGCGCCGCCCTCCGCCCATTCAAGGCGGAACAATTACTGGCTTAATGATCGCTTGGGATGTGCGTGGGTTTTAAACAGATATCAAAACGTATGCCGGACTCTGCACTGTGCACACCACGCCTGGGATAAATAATTGGAATAGGCGCATCGCAGCCAGTGCGTTTCAGCGCAGTGTTTTCTGAGTTTCCTATAGGTGTGGATACGGCCGCAGGCGCGGCGAGCTGTCTGGCGGGAGCGGCCAGCTGAGACCGGTTCGGGTGGCGGAGGGCGCGGCCCGGCCGGTCTGCGTGTACCTACTGTGAAGGTCACAGCCGTATCGACTGGCCAGGGTCGGCCGGCTGCCGCCCAAGGAAATCGGCACCGTCCGCCTCGCCCTTCCGCGGAGGACGGGCTCCGCTCCGCTAAAAACCACACACACACACTCGTGGAGATGTGTCCATCTCACCTCCCATCCGCTGTCGGCCCGAGCACCGATCACACGGAGTGACAGCAGCTGCAGGATTAGGATGAGCTGGCCGATGTTCCGACAGCGCTGCAAGCCCAGTAGTGTTGTCACGGTGGAGCGAATTGAAAAGTTACTCGTCTACGGGCCACCTAACAGCCGGCTGACGGCTCACCGCTCGGCCGAGTGCCGAGTCCCCGCCCCCGGCCCCAGCCCCGGGCCCGGTCCAGTGCGCCCGACACGGCTGGCCAGGGCTCGCGCGGCGCACGTGCAGCCGAGCAGGACCGGGATCGGTCCATGGTCGCGCGGCCGGGCCAACTTGCGACAGAGCTCGTTACAAAACACCGGCGCGGGGGCGACGGTGCCGCTCGATCGCTCCGTCACCCCCTCCCCCCCCAGTCCGGCTCGTTCAGCGGCCGATTTCATAAAGGGGCGCAAACTTTGCAACGTAGTTTTACGTCCATCTCGGTTGCGATCTAGGTACTCCCAAACGGTTTCATAACGAAACTACGGGTTTGGTCATTTGATGTTCTAAATATGTAGGTAGTTAACTGTGCTGTAAACTTTTAACTGCCGATGTACTTACCACTTTTTGTGCGTGGTAAAATGCAAGCAAAACAAATGCAAATATAAGACCTTGAAATTAGGTAAGTAGGCACCTACCATTCGCTGCGCCAATTGTAACGGTACTTTCGCTAGTTTTTTGGTGCAAAATATTAGCTTTATTTTGGTCGAAACAGCGAGGGGTTCTACCAACCGCCAGTTGGCGCACTAAGGCCCTAGTGCCACTTGATTTCAAGTCTCACTAGGCGATTTCGGTTCGCGCTGAGCCACTAGCCGATTGGTGTAAAATGCCGCTTAGTGTCACTACCTTCAAGTGTCACTTGGCCACCGTGACACTATGTCTTACTAGCTTCCTAGTGCGCCATCTCGAATCGATCCCCGATAGGTTGAAAGCCGATACATCTGGCGATCGTTAAGCTCGCACTTTATGGGTCGGGATGCTGCCACCTCTTGACATTTGAACCTTAACCTTACCAATCCATCTATACCTTGTGCAATGATCGGCTGTTAATAACAATTCCTGATAGGTACCCTCCACTCAGGTAAATCAAAACGTTTTAGTCTCAACGGAGATAGCTGTATGTATGACTGCATGTAGAGTGCAGTTTAGGTACTCGTCGATATGAGTATGAATGACGTCGTAATCCCACCTGTCCCGGGCCGAACCCGGATGGTACCTGCTTATGGCTATCAATCAAAGACGTATCCTCTCGAATCTCTCTATAGTCTCTCCCCTTCCTCCCCTATTGGCAGATACCACCACTGTAATCCTGTATGTAATTCCCTGTGATTCGGTTCGACTTAAGGGTCACGGAAAATCGCTATCAACTTGAACGGCTCAACCACAGCCGTTCGGGCCACAACAGCTGGTAGGTGGCATAACGTGCCATTTGTCGGGCATTTTAGATAACTAACGATATAGCCTACTGGCCGCTGTTCTGACTTCTGATATTTAAATAAATGTTGCCAAGCAATTCCTGCGAGGACAGCCGCTGTGACAGACCCTCCACCTGGTTCCATGGGATCCCGTCAGACCGCCGACTGGTTCCAGGGGATCCCGTCAGATTGGTTCCAGGGGATCCTGTCGAGGTGAAGGCTGATTGGGTGGGTGGCTGACGCACGGAGGTCTGAGGCAGCAGGAGACGAGAATGCCTCCTACTTCCAAGCTCCGGACTGGGGAGGTCTCTCCACTGTGGGACCGATTCCCTGCTCTCGTGCCCCCCTTCCCCCCCCCCCCCAGGTCATATACGTCATGGGCTGGCCTCGGCCGCCGACACCAGTATTCGTCGGTCGGCGGACCGGCCCGGTATACCGATACTCTGCCCCCGGCATCGACGCTGACGATTTCGTCTCGTCGGATCGTCCGACTGCGTCTCTCCCTCCGCGCCCTACGTCACACTGACTCTCCGATGGGCGAAGGGCGGGAATACCTCCCCACTCTCCGGGGGGGGGGGGGAGATACCCCCACTCTCCGGATGGCCGGGACTACCTCCCCACTCCCCGAAGGACCGGGAATACCTCCCCACTATCCGGAGGGCCGGAGGATACCTCCCCACTCTCCGGTGCAGTCTCCAAGCTCCGACGCTGCCTCCGTGACGTCATCTGACACGGAGTAGGGAGCGACGTGACGTGCTCGCAGCTCTGGCCCTGAGCTGGGAGTGACGCGCGCGCGGAGGCTCAGAACGAACTTATGCGAAGGCCATGGGCCCGCCGACCGGTGCAGACGGCCACCGCCAGCTGACGCAGCTGCAACACGGTCTATTTACGAGTCCCGGCGCTGGCGTGATAAGCATGGCTGCATTTAGAGAGGCAGGAGGGTCTGTCACGCTGTGCCTGAACAGCTTTTAGCCTAAGTGACACATGATCGCGACTGAATCAAAACACCATGGTCCATTATAGAACTGGCGAAAGAAGAAGAAACGGAGATAGGGACACTAAATGATTATTGCAAGAATATCAAAAGTAGATAGAACGTTCAAGACTGGGCGTTATGCCCCACTCATATACCTAATGCGTCACAGGTAATGCATCACGCATGCTTGGACGCAGAAGCAATAAATATGTAGGTAGAGTGGGGCAAAGCACCCAGTGCGGGTAAAACGTCCTTATTTGTCCAATGCTCGACTTTTCAAAGAATTATTGATAGCCATTTTCAAGAACACGCAGGAATCTGCTTGTACTCCGTTTTTTGGTTCCACAAGTGAGGTGTTAACACCTCACTTATCTTACGTCCAGAATTCTGGACGTAGATAAGTGAGTGTGTTAACACCTCACTTGTGGAACCAAAAACGGAGTACAAGCAGATTCCTGCGTTTTCTTGAAATGGCTATCATAATTCTTTGAAAAGTCGAGCATTGGACAAATAAGGACGTTTTACCCGCACTGGGTGCTTTGCCCCACTCTACCTACATATTTATTGCTTCTGCGTCCAAGCATGCGTGATGCATTACCTGTGACGCATTAGGTATATGAGTGGGGCATAACGCCCAGTCTTGAACGTTCTATCTACTTTTGATATTCTTGCAATAATCATTTAGTGTCCCTATCTCCGTTTCTTCTTCTTTCGCCAGTTCTATAATGGACCATGGTGTTTTGATTCAGTCGCGATCATGTGTCACTTAGGCTAAAACTGTTCAGGCACAGCGTGACAGACCCTCCTGCCTCTCTAAATGCAGCCATGCTTATCACGCCAGCGCCGGGACTCGTAAATAGACCGTGTTGCAGCTGCGTCAGCTGGCGGTGGCCGTCTGCACCGGTCGGCGGGCCCATGGCCTTCGCATAAGTTCGTTCTGAGCCTCCGCGCGCGCGTCACTCCCAGCTCAGGGCCAGAGCTGCGAGCACGTCACGTCGCTCCCTACTCCGTGTCAG